TTAGCTTCTCAAGCTTGGAGAGTTTTTGAATGGATTGTGCTTTGTGAAGGAATGTTTACAGAATGTAGCATGGTAAGAAGAAGGAGGGGGTGGGAATAGCCCACCATAGCTTAGATTTTAGTATTTCTTATTTGAATAAGAAATAGCAGCTTTATTTAACTATTGGAATCCTTGGACATGTTTTTATGCTACTGCTTTTGCAAACAAACTATTTCTATGAATCTATATTTTCTTAATAAAAATAATTATAAAATCTGAACTGAGGACCAGTCTCTTGGAACAGCAGGGTGATACTTAAATCCAGAGGATTGGAAAAGGTCACTAACTTGCTACCATTAAGAAGTCCTACTTAGCTGAGCTGTTGTGTGTTCTGAGGAATCACAAAACCCATGCTTCAGTACTTTAAAGGTAAAGTGTTCTTTAATGGTTAGGCTTGTCCATGGCACAGATGCTATGCACTGCTGAGGCTTACCTCAGTGAAAAGTGGTAGATTTGTGATGAAAGTGACTCCCTATCCAGACCCCATACCTTCCTCAAGGAGGCTTGGGCATTACAGGGACCAATGCTGTAGACCATCTTGACTGCTGCCATTGGTGATGTCAACAAACAGGCTATCCTTTGCTATGAAAAGCTTGACATCCTTTTTCCTGTTGCCAACGTGGGAACAATACTGTGCATCAATATCGGGCCATTTCCTGGAATTTTGAATTGTGGTTTGCAAGATCTGAGTAGAGCTGTGTTAATGACAGGACATTTTGCTCATTTAGTCATTAACAACTTTAACCCACAAAGTCACTACACATCAGAAATGACTTGATGGCACATCACATCTTTTTGGTTTTCCCCCCTTCATTATCAGACAATTGTATAGTGACAGGATGGGTAGAATGGCTGAAATGTGACAGGATATAGACAGCAAAGCTCTCTAACCATCTCCGGACAAAAAGCAAAAATCTGTAATTTCCTAGTATAAATGGGTGAGCTTCTAAATATTTGTTCTCTATTTCTTTTAAATGCCTTTAAAAATATTTTTACAACAAAGCAAATAATCCCTTTCCCAGTACCAATGCCTGTTTGGCCAGGAAGAAGTTGAAAAGTTTCCCTCCTGAGAGTCAGTTAATTGGGTCCTAACTGATAGGATCAAAAATTCAGATTACCATAGACCTGGAACAGATTCCGCCTGTGAAAACTTATGTCAGAAGCCTGGTCCCTGAAATCCTGAGAAAATGTTTACTGAAAGCACTGCAGATTGGGACAAACACAACCACTTTTGCTTTTGTAATGCAGAAATAGTTTGAATATGCCTTAAAAATTGAATGCTAATTCCCTGGAGATACACAGCAAAATGTTCCTTTTCATGCATGCTCAGTTAAGAATAAAGTCACTGCTTTACCTTTTTTGAAAGGCCTTTTTTGAGGATCAGTGTTTCAGCTCCTGCAACCTGGATTCTTTCCAAATTTTTTTAAAAAGGGGATAGGGCCAATCATTCTCTTTCAAGATAAGCAAAATGGGTCTATTGAATTTATTTGATCTGATTTAGATCTGCACATGTTTAAAAGCCACTTGTTTCTTCATGAGGGAAAACAGTTTTAATTTTAAACAATCATAGTTTGAAAACACTTTGCCCAAACTTCCCATTTGGTGCAAAGCAAGAACAGACTGTCTACTACATCCGTGCAAATTTGGTGCTGATCCAGAATCCAGTTTCAAAGTTACAATCTTTTGTTTGGGCTGCCTCTATTTTTAGAATTGCCTTGCAGAATGTTGTCTTGCTCTGCCAATAAAATTAAAGCTTTAACCTGATTTATTAAGACTTTGGAGGTATTTAAATGAGTTGCTTTGTCTCACATACACTTTACTATAATGGGCATGTCACCCTCAAAACAATTCATAATTTTGCAGAGTCCTGCCAGTATCTCATGATAGGTGGGCACATTTCATTTTGCAAAGAGGGGGTGGTTATAGATGTGGGGGGCATACAGCCATCCATTCATGCCACATACTTAACCTGTCCGTCATTCCTTTTGTGATAACAGTGTTATATTGCCTGAATAGGAACAAGTTAAATTTGGTGTCCATTTCAGATTGATGCAAATTAGTCTAAAGAATGGAGACATAATACCTTACAAATTGGAGCAACTATCTCAGTTTGGAAAAGTATTATATAAATCTAGGTCAATGATCATTTTGTGTTGTGGGGTTGTGGTCTAACCCTTTTATGAACCTCACCCAGCATCTCCTCACAATAAATTTAATAAGCAGGTGCTGCCAGTTAGCAAGTATGCATTTATGGGGTAGGAGTCATATTATTTCAGTGTCAATAAACACTGTTTTAATCACAGAGAGTGGATTTTTAAAAAAACTCCTTAAACTGGGAGGTATCCTAAAATAATATAACAAAGATGAACAGTTTGTACATTTTTGAAATGCTAATTTCCATTACCAACAGAATAACAGGAGGATTAGTGAGTAGAGATGCAGCTGTTTGTGAGTTTTAAATAAAAAAGTTTGAAAATTGCACCTATTCTACTATACTCTGATGACCTTCTAGATTGATATGTGCAGAATATCTATGGATTTTAAGTACAATTAACAACTTCCCATTCAGTATTTAACAGCTTCAACAATGTCTTTGATGGTTAAAAGCTAATCAATCTCATTCTCAAATGCTAATACAAGTAATTAAAAATAACAGTAATTTAAATACTGCAGGGGTTGGGCTGGATTTTTTTTTCCACTTTAACCTCATGGCAACACTAATTTACAGTACTAATTAGTGAAATGCCCTTTGTATTATAAAACTTTGGAGGAGAGGGATGTCCTTTAAAACCCAACAGAGCAGTACAGATGGCTGCTGTACTTTTGAGGAATGGGGAGGGGTATACCAGCATTTTAAATATTTATTTTACCTGATAGGCTGAATGTGCTAGAGTATATTATTTCCAAAGGGAATGTTGATATGGCTTTGCTTAGAAAATATATAGCCTTATTTGCCCCATAGTAAAACATAAATTTACCTACTAAGATAAACAATATTTCACCCAATGTACTAATTTAAAAAAGAGAAACTCTTCTATTTTAGATAATTTAAGAAGATTAAATGAATTTCAAACAGAAATACATTGTGAAGTCTGAGACAGGGGAACATCTTAAAAACACAAACAAAATAAACTACAGAGATAAATTAATTTTAATGTTATGTGATTTAAGATTTTTTATTATGCAATTAGACAGTTGACAATTAGCACACAAAAAGAAGACAAAACAGAATTTATAGTCCCACATATGTTTACTATAATTTACTATTTGTTCAGTAGATTGACTTTAATATCTATAAGAAACAACCTGGCTGTTCCACCCTTTGCCCCTGAGTACGTAGTATCATTTTCATTGCTGAAAAATATTAGGGCAACTGACATGAAAATGAAGGTGTATCTGAAATGAGACAGAATGCACGGTATACAATTATGCACACAAACAAGAAATCTAGTGTTCTCTTTAAAAGGATTAAATGTACTGAGTTTCAGTCTAAAATATCCCGTATCTCCAGTTCCTTTACTACTGAATCACAGATGCTTCTAGTCGGCATATACATTATACATGCATTTGTTACCAGGAGCTAGAAGACACATGGATACTCATTTGATGGATGAATTTGAATGTACTGTCACCACATGAGTGCAAATGTACAATTAAAAGGCTGTTCACCTGGCCAAGGATCATCCTTCCATGGTGGAACAAGTGGGCATGCAGTCTTTTCTTATTTCATATGTGAGATATGATGTAAGTCATGGAGCATCAATACCCAGTTTATGAGATCTTATTCAAGAAAAATAAAATAAAAGGCAGAATGCTCAAGCTTTTGTATATCTGGACCTGCACAGGAAGATCAAATAGTGAGCAAGCATGTCTATACAAAATGCACAGCCTTAGCTGATGTGTGTGTTACTTGCTACTACTGATGGTCCCTCATCTCTCTGTTCCTTCCATAATATTTCTTATACTTCTACAACAGCCAGTTGTTGGTGCTTGACTTTTCCTCATAAGACTACATGGCAGCTATAAACATAATAAAAATAAAGCCCACTGCTCTTGTTTCTCCATCTCAGATTACCTTTCTTCATCTCATAGTACTAGAAAGAGTATGATAAAAAACTTCAGAACTGACAATGTGTGTATTTATGAATCGTGTATGAAGTGAATGTAAGATTATACTTCTGCAATCAGTATCCTCATCTGTAAAATGAGAGTACCGTTCTTTGGGGGAGATGGAAATATGTGGGGAGGGATGTGTGTGTGTGTGTGTGTGTGTGTGTGCGTGCACGTGTACATGTGCATGTGGGTACAACACACACACACACACACACACACACACACACACACACACACACACACACACACACACACACACACACACACAAAGTCCCAGGACAAACTTCTTTCTTATTTCTTCCACTAGAGCAATATGTCAAAGGGAGTGAAATAAAGACTTAATCCCAGCAGAGTACCTTGATGTACCATTTGCACAGGTAAAGTAGATGTGGAGCTTACACAAAACAGAAGAACAAAGCCAACCAATCTTATACACTTTAGACTTCTAGTCTTTTGTGAACAGCTGCAGAATGTAAGCATTGTACATTTAAAAGAAAACTGTTTTTTAATCTAAGCAATCAGCACTGTGGTTGAAAAAAAATCTAGAAAAGATTTAACACTTTGTAAGATTACTTTTCCTATTGTGAAAGATTGCTATGTATACAGAGTCTTTCAAAACTCCTTTTCTTCCATTGTTAGAATGGGAAGGTGGCTATGTGGACTTGGATGGACGCTCTTTTGTTGTCACAAGCAGTTTTCTCTTTTCTCTCTGTGAACAGATGGAGGGCTGGAGTGTGGTAAGAGAAGGTCATTGCTCTGTGCACAAGACCTTTTCTTACAGGGGCTCAGCTTGTTCTTTTAGGCATAGTCCTCAGCAGAGCAACTGTCCTGTGTGTGCAACCCCCCCCCTTCTTCTTCTTCTTTTTATTTTTTTTTACACACCCTTCCTACTCACAGAGCACTGTCTTGTTTTTCTAGGTGAACAGACACGAGTATGTGGTTCTAAAGTTATTCTTATATTTCCTCTGGACTAAAATTTGATCAAAGTAATGACAGCAATGTAAATAGTTCCTGGGCAGTATATATTCTCTTGCCTTCCTTGTTGCTCCCTCACGAGGGACTTGATAAAAGCATTAACACAGACAGAAGAGTGGAAACCACTTGTACTGGCAAAGCCTCTGGATGTCCACCTGAGGTCCAGTTTACTTCCCCCCCCCTTCACCTTGCTCCCAGGCAGTACACATATGATCCTTGCACCTGTCAATCCTTGTAGTATACTTTCTGCTGGAGCCAAGAGAAAGCACTTCGTGTGGTATCAGGACCAGAATCCAGCTTCCTGGGAATCTCTCTTTCTGTTTGACATTCCAGCAAGTTTCCAGCCTTTGTGACTGTAAAGATAGGTTTTTAAACTACAAAAATCTCAGAAAATTGATGGTTCACTTAAAAAAAAATCCTGGAGTCTGGGATGAGGATTCATTGTCCTGAATAACTTTTGGTCCTCCCTTTATATATCTCCCTATTGCTAAAAATAAAAGGAATTTTGAACTTTACAGAAAATAGCAACACAGCATCTTTGTGTTTTTTTTTAAGCTCAGACTTTTAATTTTAAATCTAGTTTCCTTTGTCGTGTAAATATATTTCTGACCCCTCCATCCCCACCCCACAGTCTTTTTCTGTCTTTGACAAATACTGATTGAAAAATCAAATTCAAATTCTTTTAAGAAAATGTTTTCTTACCACATTTTATAAGTGGTCTCTTTCTTCTCATTGATAGTACTGACATGCATTTTTAATCTGATTTTATCAGTCCATTGTTGGCAATAACCTTAGCATATTCAGTGGCTGATTTGTAAGGAATGCGTGGGAGAGCTGGATCTTCAAAGTCTACGAAGAAGAGCCCAAATCGAGAGCTGTATCCAGATATCCACTCAAAGTTGTCCAGAAGGGACCATACAAAGTAGCCTTTCAGGTGGACGTCATCAATGTAAATTGCTGGGGAAAATGGGAGAAGAAAACCCCATGTTATTTATTTAAATTATCTTTCTCTCCTGGGATTCTATTGAACACACAATAGTGTTCACAAGAAGCCCCCCATCCAGGAAATGACCGAGCCCACACCTGCATAGCTTTGACGTATGAACTACTAATGAATGCTGGCCCACACAAGAACTCCAGGAATAACCCAGCAGCGTGGCCAGGGGTATTCTGGGAGTTACAGTCCAAAAAACTAACTTTTCCATTCTCTGGTATGAGCTATGCACTAATTCCCTTGAGGTTTTTTTTTTTAAGATTATCAACAGCATGAATCAGTGGACTCTTACATACAACTTTGATGTATGTAGGCAAATGTTCCCCCATGGCCACAGACAGGACATGGGGTTCCAACCCACTTGTAGCCTTTTCCTATGCTAAGGATGGGAAACTTGTCATTCTTTAGCTGTTGTTGGACAACGTCTCTTGTCAGCTATATCCAATGATGAGATATGTGGGAGCTGCATTCTGTCAACACATTTACAAGGAGACAAATTTCCCATTCCTGGTCTACTCAATAATCAAAGTACTACTGCACAGTTATTGCTCTGAAAGACAAACAGCATAACTTGCAATGGCTTCACACTACTAAATAATGAATCTCCTGCTTAACGGTTTGGTTGTATATTAATCCAGTGGGTTAACACATGCCCAAAAATCCACACAGGACTCATTAATTGAGAGAAACATTAATTGTGAGGAGCCAATGTGAGTTACACAGTTTACCTTCTGCAGGTATAGATACACAATAGGATTTGGGGAAATAATTGATCCAGAAAGTTCCTGGATCAATTAAGCTGCTTTCCCATATCCTTAACAGCATAACTGCACATGCTATTAATACACTAATAGAACATTTTAGGAACTGCTAAGAGAGATAAATCAATGTATGAAGAAGACTGTTCCATAATAAAGTTAACTGAATCTCTCAATTACAATAGTTTTAGCCCTCTGCTGATATCACAGTAAGCTTAAGTGTACAGAAACAGAAATCTGTCTCTACCACTCTTCTCATGCACCTATATACACATGCAAATATTTAGAGGGAAACGACCTAGGTAGAGCCTAATAAAACATGTGAAGAACACAACCTTGTGACATTATTGGACAATAAGCCACTGAGGACTCTACTGTATAATCTGTCTGCATACCACAGACAAAGCAGGAGAGAAAACCTTGCCACATGACCTGTCAGCTTGATTTATGAGGTACCTACATCTTGGGGGAAACAATCTTTTGTGTATTAAACTTCTGCTCAAAACAGTGCTGCATGCAAAGATAACTGAGGATGACAGGGATGGCTCTTGGTCCACTGAATCTGGAACAAACACGATAAGGGCTACTGTTCTTGCACATTTCCCTGTTTCACAGAGAGAGGGGCTTGGCTTTAAAGTATAAAAAAAGAAGGGGTGCTAAGAAAAAGAAATGCAATATGACGGTGAGGTACAAAAATAATATCGATGGCAAACTTTTGATATACTGCTTTCTTGATAAAGGGACTTTGCTAAACATGGCAACTCCATGCCGATTCTTTGATTAGAAAACATGTTGGGAGCTCATTATTTCTAAGCCGTGGGCATGATTTCCCAATATGCTTAGTTAAACTGCACACTGCTGCCACTTATTGAACTGATTTTCTCCCATCCATGTTTGGGCAGGGGGAGGGTCCTTAACTAACTTTTGTCCTGGATGTGACTAATTCAGAATTACAGTGGCTTTTTATTGTTAAAGTATGGGATCCGTCCCTTCTTGGGAATGAAAAGCCAGAACTGTGTCATTCTTCCCAAATGAACTTTGAGCTGAGGTGGTATAGTCATTCAAAATCAGATGTCTAATGGTACTGGGAGTGAAGGATTCTTACTTTTCTATGCATACTGAGAGTCTATATTATTCCCTTTAATTCAGTTCAGTGTGAATAATATATCTAAACCAGAATGAAGAGCATGGAACCCTCTAGATATTTTGATGAACTATGGGTGGTGCAGCCCGACAACATCAACTGGATTGTGCATTCCTCATTCTCATAATAATCAACAGTAAAAGTGAATGAGCAACCAAAATTCCTTGGACAGATACCTAAACTCATTCTGTTTAAATTCTTTTCATGAATAGTTTCACTTCCCTTTCTTTCAAACCCATCTTCATATATTTCCTAAACACTTCATGGCATTGCATGCATGGACCTTTGCATCCTTATTTTAAATCCTGTATTTCTGTAACAACATCCATATAAATGTGTGCAGTTTTTCAAATGGTAGGAGCGAGTAGAAACTCTCTCTCTCTCTCTCTCTCTCTCTCTCTCTCTCTCTCTCTCTGTGTGTGTGCATGCATGTGTGAAAGAGAGAGACAGAGAGAGATCTAGGAGCCAGTTCCTGATATTCCTGGATCTAAGTTCATTTATTTTAAAATTAGCTATAGACAAGTGGTGAAATTGTGGTAATTCTCTCTCTCTCTCTCTCTCTCTCACACACACACACACACACACACACACACACACACACACACAGAGAGAGAGAGAGAGAGAGAGAGAGAGAGAGAGAGAGAGAGAGAGAGACCTTGTTCGGATACCTTGTTCCAGGAGATAGAGCTTTATAAATAACGAGCACCAGCACAATTTCAAGTGGTAAGTTTGAGTATAGCAAACCATTCCAACCATTTAGTCCCAGTTGAAATTATAGCAAACATGCTGGATAAAATCTGTTGCTTATGCAATAAAATCCATAACATTCAAACCATTCATAGCCAGCAAAAAAAAAATTTTTGAAAAAAAAATCCACCTGTGATTCTTCGGTATGCATGTGAATGTTGTCTTGGTACATGTGCACACCCCTAGGAATCATGGCAGGGATTCTTTCTTTGCTGGCTAGGAACAGACTGAATGTTACACATTTCCTGCCTGCCTGCCTGAGATTTATAAACCACCCCATTAGTGCACAGCACTATTCTGGACAGTGGATGTGTAAAAACCTGAACAGAAGACAATGATATAAACATAGTAACAACCAAACAACAAACAAGCAAAACTGGACAAGGCATTGATCCCAGATGGTGCTATGAAACTGAACAGCAATAGAAGATGGGCATGTTCAGGGGAGGCTACCAACAAAAGCTTCTTGGAAGATATGAGTCTTCAGCAGCCTCCTAAAGTCAGAGAGGAGGCAACAGCATTTCAGTCATTGTGCTCTAACACAAGGTAAACACAAGGTAAGCACAGTTTAAGATAAGCTTCATGTAAGACACCTTTTTTTCCAATTTTAAATCATAGCTGAATATATGGAAAGCAGGTTGGGTGGAAACTATTATTGCAAATTCCCCCTCCTGTACATATATTATACATGAAAACTAGAGTCCAAAACCAATTTATAAGCAATATTCTACTAGCTCGATAGCACTTCCACTTAAAGACACCTGTATGCTCACCATTACTTGTGCACATACAGGTGTTCCAACAGCTTATGATACTAGATAGTGTATCTACAGGTGAGAAATGTCACGTTTAAAGCAAATTTTACTCAAATTCTCTGCTACTGTGCCTAAGTACTTTGGTGACTGCTACATTATTAATTAGCATAGATGTATTTACACCCATCACACCATTAATCATTGTATCAGGAAGGTTGTCTAATTAATTAACCACCATAGGTGGTCACAACAGCTGAAAGAACCATTTCAGGTGTATGGCAGAGTACATCATTTGTCTTGTTTCACACATTACCCATCTCTTTCTTGCAGGGCCACTTCTGCATATTTTTCATTCCTTGATCTTTTTGTTAGCTTTGATACCAGAGGATGCTCAGTCTCTACAAGGTCTTTCCATTTCTAGAGTGTTACAGCATCAATTTACTGGTCCTTCACATCACACTGACAGTTCCTTCAGTTCATTTATTGAAATACTTTCTCCACGTTCACTGTCCTGTGGCATTTTCTAAGGTTTACTATTAATCTATCTTCCCTTCTTCCCGTCTCTTGACATCATAATGGCTGTCACTCCACCAATCTTATTCATTCATGTTTTCACTACATTTGTACTGCCAATTTAGCTTCTCGGCTTGGGCATCTCTTGTGTTTTCTTCCTTGGCCTTTTGTTTTACAAATCTATCCGTGGCCATCCAAAAACTTCTGCTGAATTTCAAAATGGGAACTTTAAAAAAAAATGCTTAATTAAGGATGGCATTTGGGATTCTCTTGCTTACCTTTCTTATGTAGTGGCTGAAGAGCATCTGTGCACAACAGTTTTAATAGCAGCAGCCCCACCACCACTCCCACTTGAACCCTGAAAAATTTTGGACAGCCAGAAAGGCAACAGAATGATGAAGAGAAATGGGATAGAAGTGTGTGTTTGTGTGTGTGTGTGTGTGTGTGAGTGCTGCATCCTTGGCTTCCTTCCAATATTAATGAAAGCTCAAAAGTATCACACACAGAAAAAAATCTAAAGACCCGTGATAACTGGTCTTTAGATTAGAATGGAAAATTAGAAAATTGGAGAACAAATTATGGGACAGTAGTTATTTTCACTATTTTCCTGGAGCCAGACACAACACAGTGACTACAGGACACAGAAGGAACTGTATTATATGCATCTGCAATAGAAACCTACATGGTCCCCTCCAAAATCTTAAGATCTAAAGAAAGTGAAGGGCTCTGAAGAATAACAAGATCTAAGCCGAACTTTCTCAGAGGACTGACTTCCCAGAAGGCATACGTTTTTCTTTTTCTTACTTTCCTAAGAATAGAAGGATACATTGCAGAATTATTTCTGAAACATATCCACCACATTTTTGTATCCCCACCCCAATGGAGTGCCCTAGAATGACACCTTGGAGGGCACTGCAGAGAAAGCAAAATAGTAATCTGTCTGCCAAGATAGTTGTTCTTTGGGAAAATATGAATGAAGCAGAGCATTCAGTGCTGAGCTCTACTTCTGAGAATCTACCGGTGTATTTTGTTTTCTCTAAAAAAAA